GACTAACGACTACGTTTGTTAGTTTTTTACATAATTATGTAAGCTAGCGAAACCTCTCTACTAATTTAGGATAATGGATGTCGAACTATAATTTTCAATGTTAATGAAAATGTATGTAGTAAGTATTTTGTTCCAGACAAACAGTGAATCATCGCCACGAGAATGCTGGTTAGGCCAATGAAAGTTGATTTCATGTTTCTCATCACACTGACCGCATCAAATTTTATGTCCCGCATGGGAAAATGTCATTATTCATTACTGATATTTGTTTGTACTACTTTTGTATAAATTCAAAAAAACCAATTTTTTGTGAATTCCCACCAAGAGAAGGGTCTCTGTCAACAATAATGGTGCCAGCATCTATGTATAAAATGACCTGATAGGTTAGTTTCAACAGCCGTTGTTGATCGTTTATTATTAGAAAATAGTAAACAAACTAAATCTTAATACCGTACCTGAATTAGGAAATGAAAGAAGGATATATTATTATTAACAAAGTGGCTAAATTTAATACATATTACAGAGAATTGCAACAAATAATGGGAAACACGATATAAAAATCATGATGAAACACTGGATGAAACATTAAGTTTTAATACAATCATTGGCTCATGCCCATGGTAAATAATTTTAGGTTGTCGGCAAAATGTCCGGTCGACGAGATGTCCGGTTGCGAGATGTCGGTTTGGCTAATGGTCAGCATGTCGGCCAATAGTCTGTCGGTCAAGAGTCTGTCGGCCAAACGTCTCGTCACCAGTGTAGCGGTTAATTTGAATTAACTTAAATTTAAAAACAAAGTAACATTTTTTAAATTAGTTTAAGTTAGGCCCTATCCTGGGTCCTACTACTACGCCCCTAGGCTAGGCTATATGCTAGTAGGTTAGGCCTGGGTAGGGGCCGCCGCCTTGACTTGTAGGCTAGGCCTAGTTAACTTAACCTGACCCTAGCCTAGGCCTAACCTTTCAGGCCTAAAAAAGTAATAAAGTGCGTAGGCCTAGGCCTAGGCCTACTTTAAGGAACACCAAAAAAGCAAAAGCTTTTCCTTACCAACAAAAAACAACAGCTGCTCTTCAGTAATAATCAGTTTTGGTCTGCCTCTGCCTGATATAGACGTAGGAGTATTATAGGATGTCGGCCTAGGCCTAGTCGTCGTGCATTCATCATCGACACGGTGTTGGTGTGCCTTCAGAAGTTGGCAAGACTGGACAAGTAGCGATAAAACCGCGTTGTCTAAATTTAAATTAGACGAATCCCTGCAAATATTATCCAGAACACGTAAGGCCGGCTGAATACCATTTTCGTGTTCAGCTTCCAATAAACGTATTACTTCAAATATACGTAAGCGTATATCGTTTTGATTTTCGTCCATTTTGTGCCATATACCAAGGTTTCAATCATCACAACCTCTCATTTTTCTACTTAAAGAGTTAACCCCTCTCTTAAAAATGGACGGTCCCGATTCGTAGTACGTTGTGTGTTGGTGCTAGTACGTTGTATGTTTGAGTTAGTGCGTTGTGTGAATGCTGTCTCTTATACACATCTAGATGTGTATAAGAGACAGACGCAACATCAACAATAATTAAAATTCTAGAAAAGTCATTGACATGCCGAAGAGAGAGCACCAAGACCAAGTGGGTTTGTATTTTTGGCGGTGTTGGCCTACGTTGTGTGTTTGAGTTAGTACGTTGCGTGTTTGTGCTAACACGTTGTGTGTTTGTGCTAGTACGTTGTGTGTTTGTAATTGTATTTTTGGCGGCGTTTGCCTTCCATAACATGTGCTTTGATTTCAAACCATTTGGATTTTCTAAGAAGGTACATGATCTTTCGCAGTGGTTGTCATCTCAACATAGTACACAGAGATTTAAAACCACACAACATTCTAGTCTCAAATAGGCATTATTGTGAGACTAACCCTACCAATTCAGAATTCTATAGGGAATTTCAAACTTGCCCTATTCTATGCAAATTAACAGATTTTGGGGAGAGTAGGTCGGAGTTCATTCAGACCAGGACCCTCATAAACAATGCAACACAAAATGTTCACAGGGGATCAATGCCATATATGATGATCTCAAGAAAATTGACATTTGGGCATTAGGAATGACAATTTATAACATCTGTAATCCTGGAGTACGATATCCATATCAACTAGACACAAAGGAAAAAACTCCCTTTGGTTTCCAAAGTTTCCTAATGAAACAACAGGAAAATGGCATACGCCCATCAAATTCTACAAAATACAGAGCTGTCCAAGAGACGAAGTGGAAGAAGTTAATGTGTATATACTTCCAGTGCACAACTGTAGATCCATATGACCGACCAATAGCTGCATGCGTGGTCAGTGAACTAGAAAAAGAGTAAGTTGAATATTATCACTTTACTACTGTACTGTATTGTTTAATGAAATAAATTCAGGATAAAACACTACATAGGCCTAATTGGTATGTTTTAATTCTGATAAGGTACTATATGAATGCCTGTCTAATTGACTGAGTGATTAATTAATTGATTAATTAATAGATCGAATGACATCTTTTTTAGAAAATTTGCAACAGATTCACTAACACACGTGTCTGCCATCTTTTTCCACTGGGATGCTGAATTGAATTGTGTAAAATAAAATCTTGTAACCAAAGAGGATTAAATCGTTATTACTGTATATTCCATTTTTTTTTTCGTAATGCCAGTGAATCGGTACAGCTTCATGAAGATAAAAAATCCAGCAAATGTACATGACCTTGTATTTTGTTATACTTTATTATTATTGATATTAGGACTACCCTCAGTGAAGAGATAGAAATATCAAGCGACAGGTCAGCTCATGAAAATGTTAGTTCAAATGAACATGAGCTTCAAAGCAGGTAAAACGTAGATACTCCTTTTACACTTCACAGTACAAGCATATCCTCAAATATAGTAATTAGTTTAATACATTAAATTAGCATTTAAAGTGGAAACGAAGTGTTAATAAAATTTAAACTTGTACTGTACATTAATGGCAGTGACACATGCTCAAACAGTGCTGTATATTTATACAAATAAATAGAATCAAACTTAAACAATAAATATGAATACAAAGACAATAATAAAAATAATAATAGTAATAATAATAATAACATAACAAGATAATCTATGTTACAAACCTTCCCTGTTTCATTTTCTTAATACACTGACTTTTTAAAAAGTAATTATTACTGTTTATTCCGTTTTTTAGTAATGCCAGTGAATCTGTAGAGCTAAATGAAGATAAAAAATCCAGTAACTTGTCAACTCATGGAAAAAACAGTTCAAAGGTACATGACCTTGGATGCAGGTAAGAATAATAATTTAACATTAATAAGGTTTTTAGAAAATGATACCATAATCTCTCAGTTTAAGCACCTTATAAATCGTGACTTTAAAGAAAAACTTACATTAAGTTAAAATAAAGAGAGAGAGAGAGAGAGAGAGAGAGAGAGAGAGAGAGAGAGAGAAAGGATAAATTGCAACATTCATCCATTGATTATACCCATACATGTTCGTGCTGTGCTCACCTGAATTAGGTTTTGTGCTAATTGGTGTACACTGGTACAGTTACAACATAGGCCCTATTGCACTTTACTGATATACTTGTTTGTGCATATAGAAGTAGTAATATGTTCAATTTTAACAATTACTTGATTTAACAGTGTCGTTTGTTTTTTATTTTTATTATTCAGTGTGAGTCAACTCACACTGAAGTAACACTTGGTTGTAGAACATTGACCTCTCTGAACATTAATGTAGTTTCCATGACAATTAAGGCCATTTAGCTGTCAAATGACCCTGGTATGGAACAACACAGGCTATCAAAAGACAATCAGGTTGTTGCTACGTTGTGCTATATTTGCTGGACCAATATTCTGAGTGCAACCGTACTGGTGACTAGCCCCTCAATTTAAGTCAAGGTGTCAAGTTTAATGGTGTCATAGGTAGAGATACTAGAGAAACACAAGTACTTACAAGTAAGTAAGTACAAGTACAAGTACCAGTTAAGTTTGTTATCGATGATAACAACTAATGACCTACTTATTAGCTATATGATGAGTTTATATGCCTCTATAACAGTCTGATCATCCACCTTGAAATCATTTCTGATGAAATCTATGTTATACAAGATATGGATGAACCTATAATATTCAATCAGTAGGTCTATATCAGAGTCTGGAGTAATAGAAGGTGATAATCATTCCTTAATGAGGTTTTTGAGTGACACCAAATCGAGTTTGGAGGGTTGACCAATGCCTTTGGGAAAATTTAGTAACCTTCTACTGTATAAACATTCGTTTTATGAGATATCTATGCTAATTGGAAGCCTCAATAGAGTTATTAAAGTAGTACTGTACTGTACTAGGATAACTCCTTGACTGGTCATTTCACAGGTGATCTTTCCATGTCTGTATTTGTATTTTGTCTTTTGTTTGAGTTTGTTATTGGATTTATATTTTGTTGAGTTTGTTAAATTTGTTGAATTGTTTTATTAGTTTAATTCTGGGGTTTCTTCTTTATTTTTGGGGTTGTTCTTTATTTTTTGGGTTTGTTCTTTAATTTTTGAGATTTGAATTATGGCCCTAATGGCCGCCCATACTGACTGGCTGTAATACTAAACCTATAGAGTCATTATCTTTAGTTGGTGACAAGCAGCTGAACGAAAGGGAGAAGGATAAAAAACATAAATCGTCAAGACATCACCACGTTTTAGTTGGGAATAGTATAATTTATATTATTCCTAATGAAGATATACAACAGGTAATAAATTTTATTTTGATTAGCCTCATACTGAGACTAGAAAGCAAGATGTTGGCAAGTTGTGAGCTGGCTGTTGGGTTGTGTATTTTGGGACAGAAAAATACTGGACTGCTTGTGCATTGTAGTTAGCTGCCATGGCATTTTATTTTCAATGTTGAAATGCAGTATAGCATTATATTATTTTCAGCCTGCCGGAGAACAACGCCCGCAGCCAATTATTGAAAGCAGATCTACAGTTCCACGAATTGATGTAGAAGAAAATAACATAACAAATAAATAATAAATAACATTTTCAATCTTTCTATAAATACTAAAGTCAAAGATTGTTTCGTCTGGGCAGCCTCTATCGCCACTCAAAGGACTTTCCTTCTTCATATAAGACTACTACGAATGGGTGTTTCGGTGGTAAGCAAGAAATCCAGTTGGCCAAACCCAGTACCATTGTTTATCTCAAACATGGGAAATACAATGTAGATGCGGAAAATGTAAATGACAATTTCATTATGTACCTTTGTGCACTACTATTATGTTTACTTGATTATTTCAAATTCGAGTTTCACAACGAACAGAAGCTCATGTTCCACAGATAACTGATGATGGCAATAGGAACTCAAATACATCATGCAGAAGAATTGGAAGTAAGAACTATTGACATTACCATAAGAAGCCATATGAATAGTATTGGTTTGAGAAATAAGGAAGCAACTGGGGTTTTGAAAGTATAATACATACTTCAAGTATTGAAATACGTGCCATCGTGTTGGGATTCAATATTTCAACATTAATTATGTCATCATCAGGTGATCATTCCTGATGATGACATAATTAATGTCGAAATATTGAATCCCAACACGATGGCGTGTATTTCAATACTTGGAGTATGTATTATACTTTCTTATCTGAGATTAATCAGTGGACCTTTCGGTAACTGGGGTTTTAACATGCTGAATTATAAGTTCTGTTTTGAATTATTTTTTTTAGAAATGAACAGGTTTTTCCTCATCTGTGGAAAGTGTGAAAATTGTAAGTGACAATTTCATAATGTACCAAAGTGCACTATTCATCTTTGAATGGCAATCTTATGTTTATACCGTAGTAGGCCACAAAACAATCTATCCATTTAAATTGAAGAGGAAAGTGTACTTGAGCATTAATGTGGATAAATAGTATGTGTTTTTAGGTTTAAGGAGAATTTTTTAAAAATTTATTTAGAAAAACTATTTATGAGGTATTATTAATTCAGAAATATCTGGAGTGGCAAGAATCGGACCTCGGTATTGAGGTCTACATAATAGTATGTTATTGAAGTACTGTAATATGAATAAATATTTTTTCAATATGCAATTCACAGATATTTTATGTTAAATTGATTATTTTAGATTCAAGTTTCACAACGAACAGAAGCTCCCTTCCACAGATAACTGATGATGGCAATAAAACTCCAATACATCATCTGTGTTTGTCATATCGGATAGCAAAGATATTGTGTGCACTAGGCTTATGTCTCATTAACATCAGAATACTAGTACACCACATACATACACCACCAATGATGGAAAGTGAATGGGCTGTTTTAAATTTAAACTTTAATATCATTTATTAATAGGTGCCTTCAGATGACTATATGATGCCTGATTTTTTCATTGCATCTGGTACTCCAACTGTAAGTAATGTTTCGATTTTGTTCTGCTTGATTACAACACTTTTATTTGGATTCATTGAATTATACTGTGCTAATTTATAGTTCCTGTACCTAAACCACATCTTATGTCTGAAAGGTGAATGACTTTGATAGCTTTGCTATTCTATTATAAAATTTAAATGTCATGTTTGACATTTATTAATTTAATATCAATTATGAACTTAATAATATAATATCACCAAAACTAAACAGGGCTCTCAAAATCAGTTGCCCGACGGCTTTTGGCAACCAAAAATTTACAGGGGGAAACCTAAAATTAGACATGTTGGTCCTGATGGGCAACCAAGAAATTTTTAACATGATTGTAAAATTCAAAATTAAAAAACTTAATTTTATAAGTGAGGGCAAGTAAAAATTCAGAAGGGCAGGGCAACTGAATTATTTTTGTATTCTGTGAGGCCTGGTATATAAAAAAATATTACAATAAAATGGTTTAATATATGTTATATATTTATTTATCTTTACAGAATTCTAGCTAATTGTGAATTCTCATGATATGCCTGTATTATTTAACACTGACGACCTCTTATTATTTTTTTCACAAAATGGGACAACCTTTGCTAAGTACTGAAACAAAGTGAAGACACTTTCTACTAACTTTTTTTCTACACACATTCAACACATCAGAATGCAATTTAGTCACCAGAAACTATCTTTTGTTCTCTTTCCAAAAAAGATATAGAAACATTTAATAAGTGTGTAGAATTTGTTAATACAACGTGGAAGACAACAAGAACTACCTCATAAGAAATGTTTAAAGTACAATCAGATACAAACCAAAAGCTTTTCCAAATATTGAAGTGGTTGAGGATAAAGGCCTGTTTATACTTCAACGATAACGATCTTATAACGTTTATAGCACAGTAATATACTGCTGTACAATAACAATTTTCTGTAAATGTGTGTGAAATTAAGAACAAAATAGAGCAATGCTGGAATAGGCAAAAAATAATAACAGTGAGCCTGGGCATAATTTGAATGGTTCTTATAAAAAAAAGTGTATCATGGTCATGCTACTGTATGGCTATACAGTATTTAATTTCTGTTGAATCGGCCGAGTAAACTGGACACGAACTAATTTTTGTCTGGTTTTGGTAATTTCCCAGCAATTGTTCTCGGATCGCACATTATTTCAGCAGTGTAAAAAACTCTTTCATATTACTTTTTGCCATGTACAAAGCCATTTCAATTATGTTCGCAGCGTATTCTGCAAAGACAGACAACATTCACATATTATAAAACATGAAATGCCTGACCCAAATGCTGATATATACTGTATTAACTTAAATGGTAGAAATTAAGCTAATGCTTATTACATATAAATCATTGAACAACCAGTCACCAGCATACATCCGTGAGATGATTGTGACTCCACGACTTGTAGAAGATCCCTTAGGTCAACAACCGATAAATCTGTGCTATTCGTTCCCCAAAGTCGTCTCAGAACTTATGGTGATCGAGCATTTGCAGTTGCTGCCCCTAAGCTTAGGAACAGCCTGCCCGATTATGTACGCCAGGCACCTTCAACTGGGATTTTCAAAAGCCGATTGAAAACTCATCTTTATAACTCACTATAGACCACTCACATTCGTTCATTTTCGTTGCTCGATAGGCCAATATTTAGTTACACACATCATTATGACACCTGTGAAATCAATAGCTGACCGGCCTTGGTCGGTCAGTGAAACGGTGTGGTGATGTGTGATTCTATTTTTTATCTGTTTTGTCGGTTATTCTGTTTGGTTAGTTTAGGTTATTTCCGGTCAAATTTATTTCCATACATTATTCACATATATTTAAGCGCCTTGAGACGGTTTCGATCGTGGAAGGCGCTATATAAATATAAAACCATAACCATAACCATAAATGCATTGAAATACTTCAACAAGTATAAAATATAAATGGGTAAAGCACAAATTATTTTTTTGAAAAGTTATCTCACCGAATGTAGACTTGACAAGATGTTTTTTAGCTACCCAGTCTTATTTGGAAGAGAGAACCACAAAGAGTACTCAAGATCTCTTCCCTGGTTTACAAAGCTGCTATGTAGGTTCTGAGACAAGCCCATCACTGCAAGATGTCGGTGCTCAGGAAAATCCAAGAAAATGACTATTTCAAAAAAGCATTTACAATATTATACAGTACGAAAATATAACAATTATTCTACACTAGTTAGTCATTTGGCAAGGCGTTATCATTGCCTCCACCCAGGAGTAAAAGAGGGTACTTGGTAGGTTCCAAAGCAAATACTAGCTGAAACATGTGATTAGCATTTACGGCGATTGCATAAGATTTAGGCCTAGTAATGTAGATAGTACACCCCAGAACTGCTGCTGCTAGGCCTAAGAAGTAGTATAGGCCTAGATTAGTAAGGTACGATTTTGTGCATCATCTTCATAGCAATCTTTGCCGCAAAATTGCTAGACCTACGTAGGGTAGGGCCGCCGAGGGCTAGGCACCTACCCAACCGTTCGACATCTTGTTTGTTTACTTGTCGTCGGCGATTATTGTGTCAAAGTGCAATTTGATTGACCAACCACAAATCGCTTACAGTCGGGAATATAACGCGGTTGTTTCAAATTATCTGAACGATCGCAGTGGGTTTAGAATGCGTATGAAAATAAAGATGGCGTATCGACATATCGGCCATTTTTCTGAGAAATTACTTTACAAATGTTTTTATTAATTTCTCAAATTCAACAAATTGTTCAAGGTTAGTATTTTGTGACTGGTTTATTGACTACCCAAGGATTCCAAAACCTTCATTCATTGGATTTTTGAAAATGGTTTCATATCCATTTTAAGAAACCAGCTACTTTCAAGATTACAGAGGCAAAAATCCTGGTTACACACCCTCCGCCAGCACAACTATGCATGAAGTATTTTTACAACGCTAAGGGATGCACCCATGCCCTGTTGAAGAGAGGTAAAGCATGGCATTCTTGTCAAGCTCAGGAACTTCCAGAAAACAGTTGTGTTAAGCCTGCAAAAAAGAAAGATGTGAAAGGGCTCTTGGCATCTATGGTAGAGCAGAATAATCCAAATATCAAAGCGTTTTATGATCCCATCTGTATTAGCGATAATCAGATGGACACTGATACCTTTCATGAGGATGACTGGTAAAACTGGAGCCAATTTCTCGAAAGTCTTTTTTAATCATATTCATTTTCATAAAAGGAATTTAGACGGGGTTTTTTTTCACAAAATTTTTATTTTTATGTATTAAATAAAACTCATCAACCTTGTTATAACATCTCAACTTGTTTTTTTAATAATAAAATATTTCAACTGAAAATGTCCATTTTGTGAGTGAATCAGTTATTTTATGTTTGTGTAACGCTGTTTAGTTGCAAAACTGCTTACATCCATGTATTTCAGTTAAATTAATTAATTAATTAGTTTTTTGCCCTTTTCTCTCGATTTGTAAAAATGGACGTAAGCAGTTTTGCATAAGAGCTCTTCATATGTTAAAACTAGACCAATATTCTATAGCTGATCTAGCAACTATTTTGACAAAACTAGACCTTGTTACAGCAAAAAAAACAAAAAAAACAATGGTCCAGCAAAAAAAAAAACACTTTTAAGGCTCTGCCATAAGCAATCATCAGAAATGGAAAAAAAAAACTTATCTAGGCCTCTGTGATCCCAGCAAAATCCCGCTGGGATCCCCCAGCATGGTACCAACCGGGATCCCTTAAAATTTTTTTATAGGTTAATGCTGTCTTGACAAAGAATGTGTTGCCAATGACAACTTGTGTAGTGTGTCACTTTGACTTTAATTTATATAAGGAAGCTGAGTGGCTAAAGTGTAAACCTATGCAATATCTTTGCAATATACAGCAATAAAAACCTTTACGGTAAATAATGTATACATAATTGGTTAATAAATTCAACGGTTTTTAATGTACGATGTATGAATGTGTTATTTTTAAGCTTAAACATTACAATTTGTTGCATTAAATTAATTTTTTGCCAGAATTAAAAAAAAAAAAAAAATTTGTCAAAGTTCCCCAAATACGGGGTAATTTGACAGCCTGTGAAACACGCTATGGTTCGTACAACAATTCATCAATTAAATTTTTTTTTTATTGATGTATGCAAAAAATGACTGAAATGGCGACTGTCAAGAATTCCACACTGTCCACTGCACAATAGGTGTTGATTTAAACAACGTAAATTTGCGACTGTTGAAAATTTAAAACAACAGACGATGAGTAGAATTAACTATCATTGCATTTTAATCATCACAAGCACTAGATGACGTATTAGAGAAATGACTGAAATGGCGACTGTCAAGAATTCCACACTGTCCACTGCACAATAGGTGTTGATTTAAACAACGTAAATTTGCAAGCAATTTTGTTTTATTCATTCAACATTTACATTTGATGTATTTCAGAGATTCTGAATCTGTTACAATTAAAAGTAATTTTTTTTCCCGTTTGAGATATTTCAAAATGGATTTCAAAAAGCTTTGAAAGAATATAGACACTCGAAAAAGACGGACATGCTATTAGTGGCAAAAATAGTTGATGATACCCAAATAAAGGTAGACAAAAAGAGCAAGGCATAAAAACAACCCCTGGCTCACTGAAAAATTATGAGAGCTTATGCGTGAAGGAGATAGGACAAAGGAAAGAGCTTAAATTACAGTTTATACACAACAATAACCTCAGAATACTTTAGGAAAAGGAATTGATGTTTAATCTTAACCCTTAGCATGTGGGAGGCGACTATAGTAGACACGCATAATGCGCAACAGGACACGGGAGGTGACTTTTTCCAAAATTCAAGCCCGAGTTATTTAAAAGTATGCATGTTGCCCACAAGAGTTGCCTGGCTTCAATTAATTGTTTGTTTGTTTGTTTGGTTATAGGTCATATCTTTTTTCCTTACGAAATGGCTCGTACGCTATACTGCAGAGCAAGTTATAGAAGACTTTTTGGATGATGAAAGCGATGATGAAAATGATGATTTTAAGCCACATTATGATGAAAATGAAGACGTATCAGATGAAGGGGAAATAGGCCTAGGCCCAGGGAATGATGAACTGCCGGGTGAATTGCCAGGAAGTGGTGGTAGAGAAAGCAGTGGAGAAAGCGATGAAGAAGATGGTTAAGTGCCTAGAAGAGCAATTGATACATTGAACTGGAAAGACCAAGCATATGAAGATGCTTGGTTGGGGAACTTCTGTACTGTAGGGTGACCTTCTATACAAGGCCTAAGTTTAATTAATAATTTTTTAATAATTACAATAAAATAATAAGTTGGTATAATGAGTTGGTTGTGCAGATACTAGAATAGATTTCGAGGGATAGGCCAGGCCGAATTGCTAGGTCCTAGGCCTAGGGGTGCAGCCTAGCCTAGGCCTATGTCTGGTAATAAATTAAATAATTATGTCTCTGTTGCTGATCTTATTTGAAATAAATAAGATCACCTACTAAGGCAATGGGAAGCTTTGAAATCATACTTTGGGTCAAGAGCTGAAAACCAAAAAGGCCGCTCCATACACAACCGTCTATGTAATCCAATGATGCAAGTTTATGCTTCATATCATAGTGTCATTAATTAAGAGAGTTACAACTGGAAATGTCCGTTTCATTCAGCTAAGTTTAACAAATTGTGAAGTGTTGGGGACGATCCAAATTCGGGTGTGCATTTGAGGGCGATTGGGGCCCAGACCTGAATATCCCGAAAATGTATCAATGGATAAAAATAACAATTGGCAGAATAGAACAGAAAATTAAATCGTGCCAGTACGTTAAGAGAGAAGATGTAAGGGACTGGCAGGTGTATAACTTGATACGATAAAAGGCGTTCAAAAAATGAAGTGATTATGATTATATATTGGTGTCGATATTAGGACCATTGAAAGCAAAACGTCGTATATCAGATATCTCAAAAACAAATCAACTCATCTAAATCAAACTTTTGTTTTAGTATAATATTTTTTAAGTAGATTGTGGTTGGTGGGGAAAGCGTTTGCCGTAGGGATGGTCATAGAATAAGGGGGTAACAGTGTGGTCTCTGTAGTGATATGCTGCCCTCAACATTATGCTGCCCTCAATCTTACTACAGCTTACCTCAAGGCAGCCCGTGGGACAGGCTTAAGGGAGTCGCCATTACTATGTATAACGTACAGTGTTATTAAATAAAATATTGATGTTCTATATATGTTTAATGAGTGGACTATCATTAAAGTCCCATGCTACTTAAATAATGAATTAATGGAATCTGAGGTGGAAGTGTCTCTAAGAAGCGATTAATGGAATACACAAATTTGAAGAAAAAAAAATTTAAAAAATAAATAAATAAATAAAATGTAACAAAAAAGAGTCTGTACCATGTGCTATCCGGTACCGAACATACTTTAATTATTTTAAAGATAACTTCAACTATGGATTTGGACGTCCTCGGACAGATATTTGCGGAACACGCGCAGAATATGATGTTAAAATAACATCAGAGAAAAATGAGGCAGTAAGGCAGAGGCTGAAGATGGTGCTTAAAATTCACATGCAGAAGGCCCAGTCCTACGGACAAACTGAAAACCGATTCTGTAAAAGCTCAAGAAGATGAGACGACTGACACAATATCAATAGACTTCCAGCAGAATATTCCTTACCCCCATCTTGCAGTTGGTGAGATCTTCTACATGCGGCAATTGTGGCTCTATAACTTTGGTGTCCACAGTGCAAAATCACAGAAGTCTGTCATGTATATGTGCCCGGAAACTACAGCTAAGCTTGGTGCAAACAAGGTTATTTCGTGCCTCAACCATTATTTTCAGACAAGGATTGCTGAAGGTGTCAAGAAAATCAACATTTACTCAGATGGATGCAGACGACAAAATCATAACCATTCTGTTGTCCAGTTCCTGTTTGCTTTAGTAAAGACTGGGAGATTTAATGAAATAAATGATCATCTACCAGTAAGAGGACACAGCTTCCTGCCTTGTGACCGGCATTTTGCGAGCATTGAACGTCAAAGGCGTAAAAAAGAGGTTTAGTTTACTAAAACCTAATGCTCAGCTATCAATGCCGACAACTCAGTGCTACAAAGCCCAGATACCTGTGAAATCAGCCAAACTGAAGGACATTCAAACAATCCTGTACATAGATAAAGTGACAGTTTTTTATGACAATTCATGCTAGTAATGTGTATATTTCTCATGTTTATATTAAAGAAAACTACATTGTTTAATCTGAAACAAAGACTCATGTTTTTCATTTCATGAACGTACTTCAATGACTACATAATTGATATTGTATTTTTGTATGTTTGGAAGAATGTCCCAAGTCCAGCTCCGAAAATGACCCCCTATATTGCCATGGAAATGTCTACATTCATGATTTATGTTATTTTATATCAATACATATACATACATTATACCATTAAAGTATATTGGACATTGCTCCATAAAAAAAAGAAATATTGCATTTTTTTGTGATTTTCTCAAAAACTATTTGTTCGGATATAGGACCTTCTTTTAATCAAGTATTCAAATACTTGTGTTTATAATTTTAAAACTTGGTGGTTTACTGCCACATCAACATATATTGTAAGATTTTTTTTTAATGCGCTTGTGTATGGTCCTACAAGGTCAAGGTCATATACAAGTTTTACAAATATCTCACAACCTACACTGATTTGGGAATACGGATTTAAGGATCAACAAGTCTATTGGCATCGCCACCTCCAACACCTCACAGTTCATCAGTGGTTTAGTTTCCTTCGAGGAAAATGTGACCCTGACCAAGGTGGAGACACTGCATGCCCGGGGTGGGAAACTGGTGTACGCCAGCAATGGCCAGAAAATTCTCCAAAAAAATGAAAGTGGTGTGCCGCAGCACACCACTTCTGGATTCTGGAATCGGAATAGGGTGTGCCATGGAAGGGCTTTCTCAAATGGGGTAGCTATGCCACCTCAGCCCAACCATGGTTGGCGCTGAGGTAAGTATATTATTATTATTGCACCTCTAAATGGCTGGAAATGGCTCTCAAAATAATTTTAAAAATATCGAGAAAATAAAATAATATTAAAATTTAAGTACGAGTGCCATTTCCGGCCAAAATTTTGAAATATTTAGGGAAGGGCGGGCAAGCTGGCCTAGCTCCCCTTGAATAAGAGTAAAGCGTGTAAGAATTTAAATAGGTGTACAATGATACCGCTTTTCCCTTCAGCAGCAGGCAAAACAATACAAATACAGTACAATAAAGTTATAATCATTGATGAAGGGGATGAGAGTGGCCTACCTGATGTTGATATTACCCAACAAGAGATGTAAAAGAAAAAGATGACCTTCCTATCATTATTATTATTTCAAAATAAATCCAATCAAATCCTACTCAAATTTCACCATGCATCAGCATTACATACAGTATGCAAGCCTATAAAGATATGCCAGCAGGACCAGTCTATTCTAGCCACATGGTCATTAAGCATTATATTATAGTAAATTTTCTGTACACTTGAGTCACATTTTAAGATTTCTCAAAAGAAAATGTAAGTAAGGTCTAATTATCGGAAAAAAGTAGTGTCTAAGCTGTGTCTGACTCATCTACCCCACAAAAGGATACATCTCTGATTGATGATACTGCAGTTCTTTGTCTTTTATCATGCTTATCAACTAAGTCTTAATACGAAGCTTATTATAGGCAGTGGCGTTGTTTAAAGTCGTGAGAATAATTAATCCTAGCGCTTGGTCAGGATTGGACCCGGAACATTGGGATTGGTATGCAAGCATGTTAACCACCAAGGTACAGCACCACTACATTTGATTGTATTTTGTTGCAGATTATGGATTTTAAATTATTAAGTACTTTTAAGTTAGAAGTACTTTATTGCCATTGAAAAGCACATTGGTATTGCAGATCATAATTACAACATTGGAAATATGCGACACCACCACCTTTTTAAGTAGCAAACTCGAGACACTCGACTCTATATTCAATCCCTATACTCAAGTTGACATTGTGATTTTGTATTTTCTCTCAACAAAGAATGATGTGGAAGCCATACCTTTGCCATCTACTCCTGTGATAATTGCTTGTGGTAAGTAAATTAATTTACATTACATTATCTAAGTTAGGAAAAAATTTATTTACTCCTCAGGGTTATTATGTTGGGCGGAGGTGAGCGGAGCCACCCACCCTCAGAACACTCTAAAGCTTAATTTAAGGCTTCCACCCAGCCTAATTTCAAACTGCCATCCACCCTAAGCCTTTGAAAAACATTCAAAATACTGTTTTTAATCATACTACCCACCCTTAAATGTTTGCTGCCCACCCTTATATTGTTATACCTACATCCCTTCATTATTTTGTTATGTAACACACCAAAATCGATCCTTGTTATTTGATTTTTTTATGAAAAATAAAATAAGGCACCTTACAATATGCGTGGATGATTGGGAGCTAGTATGCGAGAATGGTAATCAAATGATAAGGATATATTTAGGCGTTATAATACCAATTATTACTTTTACACCAACTAATACTATACACATCTCGATCACTATGTATGAAATATTGTTGAAATTCATGTATGTATGTATAGGCCGGTTCCCAATAAACTTGTCAAGTGAAAGCGTCGAGCGTCACGCGGCAAGCGAAGCGAATCGCGCAAAGTTCACTAGAGTTGACTTACGGTAAAGAATGTCTCGCTTCCAATGATTCGCTTGCATGTTCCCACTGCTGACCGTGTGCAAAAACTTGAAATGGCGGGTGGCAACAGAAAAGTAATAATGAAACCGATTTTGTTATCGCATTGAAAGGGCTGTTAGATGAAATCAGATAAAATCCTCAGGATTAACATTCCCAGAATAATGAATCAAAAGAGTGAATTTAAACATAGTTTTTTTTAAGTTCACATTTATTCAAGGCCTAGGCCTAGAGCTAGGCCTCCTAAGGATAGATAATAGGCCTAGACTAGCCTACCCTACTGTAGGTCTCAGGTAGTATCAGCACGGTATCAGAGGCATGGGCTGGAGAGGCCTAATACTGGTGGTAATTCGTTTTCTACGTTTTCCATGCATTGTCACATATCTTTGCTCCCTTGTCACAGACTTACAAAAGGGTAGCCTACTATTCCACAAAGTTGCACGAGACTGACTCGTCGGTCATTGTGCATACATCTGTACATTTGTTTTGATAATGGTTGGGACTATTGTTGAGCCGAGTTGTCACTTAATCGTAAATAGAGATATCTTAGTTTTAACTAAGATATCTCTATTAATAGAGCCCCCACAGTATGATATAATATTTACTGATCCTTGGAACTGAGTATCAAAAGTAGCTGAATCATTAAAATAAATCACATATTAAATAAGGTAGTATACATACATACAGGTGGTAATATAATTATATAGATCTTGTCTTATTTAAAATTATTAACTGTAAAGAAAACCAAAAAAAAACTGTATTTTTATATGTATTTCATGGACCATTTGAAAATGTAATCCAATCCATGTAAAATACATTTATAAACAAATAAATAAATATAGTTATGCCTTATTTGACCCTCAGGCAACATTTTAATGTTAATAAATACAGTAGTTTTCCTTGCACTTTTTATTTTTTAAGTCAAACTATACCAAATTACCATAAAATATTAAATAGCTATGACTACTACACATAATAAATTTTTACAGTACTTAATTTTATATTTATAATAATATCATCAATATGCTTGCCTATATCATAATCAAATGGGATTCACATGTCGAATATATTTTCATAAAGGCTAATAGTAAATTATATATTTTAAGAGCCCTTAAACATCATGGTGACCTTATCACTGTTTACATTAGTACAGTCCGTCCTATTTTAGAATATGCAGTTCCTGTGTGGAATTGTGGACTTACACAACTTTGGGATTCCCGCATCGAGCGAGTCCAAAAGAGGGCATGTAGAATTATCCTGGGTATTAATTTATTGTCGTATGACGACGCACTATCCCAATTCCAATTGGACAAATTGTCTGATAGACGACATAACCTATGCGTTTCCTTTGCAAAAACCCTTGTTCATCCGTATTCTAAACTTCATGACTTGCTCCCTCCCGCAAGGGTCAACTCCTATAATACTAGGTGCAATACTAAATTTACTATACCTCGATAAAGATATCAAAACAGCCCATTACCATACCTTGTTAACTTAATTAACTCCAAT